GTGCTTGGTTGTCTGTCTCTAAGTGTAGCCCTGTGATAGACTGGTTACCTGTCCAGGTGAACCTGCCTTCACCCTGAGTCAGCTGGGATAGACTCCAGCTGACCCCCCATGACCCTAATGAGGATTAAGCAGTGTGTAGAAGATGGATGGATGGACCTTTCTAGCAGTGGATCAGCTAATTAATTTCAGGAGTCATAAGATTTTATTATTGCTGAAATGGCGCCTCTGCATAATGAGTACTTTTACCTCTCTAAGCATACTTTGATAGTAATTCTCATACTTTTCCACAAATAAAATTTCAAATCTTTTGCGACAAAGATACATTAAATATCCGACTACTTCTTTCACTAATGAACTTCCATAAAACACACTTATTTCCTGTATTCATGCTCACTGTCTGATTGCATCTTCTCCACTGACTGCCAGGAAAACGATGCTGTGTGCAGCACAGAGGAAGACTGGCTGCAGGAGATAAACATGAATCAGCAGAAAACGTCCCTGCAGCAGCAGCAGCTCTGACGGCTGCTCTTCAGACTCTGACATGCGGAAGCGACAGAAAGATGTTTTCCTGTGAACCGTAATCTTCAGATAAACGACGCCGAGGCGGGAGGAGGAGGAGGCCAGACTGACGAGAAACAGGAGTTTATTTGTCACACCTTTGTAAATGGGACGCCGGCTGAGCTCACAGCCTTCAGGCAAAAAATATGTACAGATCATCAGCATCAGCAGAGTCAACACACCCTCACACACACACACACACACACACACACACACACACTCACATGCTCACAAATGATCTTAACATACATGTAGGCTACACCACTTCAATGGCAAAACTCACTTCCAAGGAGAACACAGACACAGTATTTGCCCCTCGTTGTGGAGCTAATTTTAACGAAGGAGGTCAATGATGCGTTTGATACAAGCACAGGGCATCGGTTATAAAGCAGTAAAAATAGGCCCACAGCCTTCAGCGGATATGAGTAATGGCAGCATGCTTGCACATGCACCCTGCACTGCTCAAACCTCTCATTATGTCAGAGGCTCTCCCGTCACACTAAGCCACTGGCAATAAGTGCATTTTCAGCTCAGCCAGCAGATTAATAAAAAATAAAACGCTGGGAGAGGATGTTTTGTCTCGCTGTGTGTGAAAAATGTTATTTATGAGCAACTAAACACAAGCAAAAGTCAGATTTTAATTTTTAAAAAAGTCACTGTGCCACCTTTTTATGACCAAATGGGAGCTTTATGGACGGATACGGGGTGATATGAAAGGAAATTCCATGAAACACACACTCACACCCAAACACACGTAATAAAAAACAATATCCATGTTCAAATCTAAATATCACCAACGACCTACGTTTTCTTTACAAAACATCTCGCAGCACACACCCTGACATTATATCCAAAAAAGTTTAGCATCGCATTTATAAATTAGATACACTGAGAAGTTATTTAAATTACGCATTTATATTATATATGTTAAGACCACAGCGAAAAGGGCTCAAAATGGGCAAACGGATAGTTTCAGAGAGAGAGAGAGAGAAAAAACAAAAAACCCTCCAAGCAGACAAACTATACAAAAGCACCAAACCGAAGAGAAACGTACAGCCAGAGTTGCCACTAACACTTGATATCAACGGTCAGAGTCTGAAGGTCTCGCTGTCGTTCGGGGGGAGGAACAGCAGGTGGCGCCGCGGTGCAGCGTCGGCTCTGTGAGACTTCACTGGTCTTTCTCGTGCATCTGCTGCTGCATCTTGTTCAGCATCTCCTGCATCCGCTTCAGCTGCAGGCACAGAGGAGGATTGGGTGAAACTGTCCGCATGAATAAATCCTGATGGTTTGCAGAGAGTCACCAGTGGCTCGACATTAACTGAACAACCTTTGAATCTGATGCTAGTGCACGTTTAACCTCAGAATATATTAAAACTGCTGTACATTTAGATATATGACGGAGATTTTTGCACTTATGTTGCGAGTGATGCAATAACTCAGATGTGCTGGGAGTGAATACATGATTTCATTTAGAATATTATGAAGGAAAAATTTGACTTAATTTTTAGATTTTAAGTTGTTCTGGTGGGTTGGTGCAACAAAACAACAATAAATATCGAGTAAACAATAAATATACAGTAAAACAAAGTACCTAGAAATAGAAATAAAATGAAAATAACTGTAATAGTTCACAGAATCAAAGTTAAATTTATTTAATTTAATTTTTTTTTTTTTGCCTTTGTGTCTTTATTTGATAGAGCAGTGAGAGAGAGAGAGACAGGAAAGTGAGCAGGATTTGAACTCATGATCTCCACATCAGAACTGTAGCCCTGTACATGGGATGTCAGCTCAACCAGGTGAGCTGTGGCAGCACCCAAATCAAAGTTAAATTTAAATAAGAACCATAGAACATTACTGTTATTTACAGGAATATTGAGGGTGCTGATATATTGATATTTACATTTATACAGATATAGAGGGGTCAGTGGGGGTCAGTGGGGGTCAGTGGGGGTCCTGGGCATTGTTCATGAGGCCTGTGGCTGTGGCAGACGGAACTGCATCATATCCAATCAGATAGTTTTGTACTGCGACATATTGTATAATGTCCAATCATTGCAATCAATCATTGCACGGCATCAGTTCTTATTGTGACGCGTTGTATCATATTATATCCTATAGCACTGTGACATAATATATCATATTAAGCCATATAGCCTTGTGACATAATGTATGACATCAGATCATATTGTTTAGCAATGGAATGTATCATATTGTCTTTAATTATACTGCATCTATCAGATCATATTGTAACATAACATATGTCAAATTGTATCATATTGTAACATTTTGTATCACATCCAATCAGATTGCTTTGTACTGGAATGTATCAATTATGCTGCATGTATCTTGTCATATTGTAACATAATGTGACAAACTGTATCATAAATATTTGCATCGTTGTCATGTTGAATCATATTGATCTGTATTGTGATGTATTGTATCACCTCGCATTGTATTGTGATATATCATAAATCATTATGTATTGTGAGTTATCCCATCAAAGCGTACAGTATTCTGACAAACTGCATCATATAAAATAGCATAGTGAGGCATTGCATCATCCAAATGGTGACTCATCGTTTTATGACATTGCACCTTGGGCCAATTCTTATTTAACAACGTTTTGTCAGATGAAAGATTCATGATGAAAGTGTTCTGATAGAAATCACTGAATGTTTGGTGAAGCACCAACCATACCTCCTCATCTTTCATTTTGATGAGCTTCTCGGTGTCCACGTCCGGAGTGGACAGCGGCAGGATGGGGATGGGACTCTCCATGCGGTTGTCCTGAGCCAGTTTACTGAAATGCAAAGAAGGAAAAAGAGAAGATATGAGGCGAGGCGAGCAAATCTGCACTGAAATGTGCCAACATCAGCAGTAATCCAAGATGTTTACATAACAGCCGTGTTCTCACGCTTTCACTTGTTCCCACACTCGTACCTGGTCATCTCCTGTATGCACTGCGCTCTGTAGTTCTCGTAGTGGACGTCACAGGTCACGTCTTTGAGGTCGTGCATGTGCGAACGAATCAGCATGTTCCTCAGCTTCACAAAGTCACAGTGTGACTGGTTCTCCACTGAGCAGAGAAACACGTGAGATTAACCGCCGATCCAAGAGGTGACATTCAAACCGTCTTTAAAACGTGACGACAGCTGAACAGAGAGATGATATACGAACGAACCTTCGACGATGCCCCAGGGGTACAGCCTCCCTCTGACTCTCTGCCCTCGAGCCTCCACCACCGTGTTGCTGCCGATCACGGCGAACGGGGTGCACTCCTGCACAGAGACACCAGGACGGGCTGTTATTCTATCTGCTGACTGAGCGTGCTGCTACACATTCACAGGGTTGTACACAAAAGGCCACTGAGCAGCTCAACACAAGTGTGACTGTCATTGTCGAGGCAGGTTTGCTGTTTATTTTGCCTGCATCCACTTTTCACAGCTGATCAAGCCCACGTTTATCGCCTCCGAGCTGCAGCCACACTTCAGTTTAAGAGAATAATGAAGGTTTTCAGAGGAAGTTCTGCCAAATTACAAACATTTTCCGCTTTGCCTTCACGGTATCCAGTCGTGTAGGTAAATCTAGTTTTACGTACTCGGGTTTTACGACATCTGTCTCTGAGATTTATGCATCCACCCGATTACAGTGAAGGTATTTATCTCTGACAGATCGACTTCTGCCAACAATCACAAACTTTTGAATGTCTACCTTCGTGTCTCTTGTTATGCTCCTCACAAAACTACCTGCGTCACTTTCTATTCTCCAGAAGAGACTTTCCTGACGTGTTCTCCGTTGTCCTCGTTAGAACAATTCATCACAACGAGACAAGAAAAACATGCAAAAGAAAACAGAGCTCTTGGAGAAAACTCTTGACTTTTGTTCCCTCCCATTTCAGCCATTGCCAAATGTTGAAACAAGATTTATTTAAAACAAATATACAAACTACTTCCTACCAAAGGAAAAGTCCCCGTGAACGTGACTCACTGGAAAGTCTGCAGATCATCCAGAGGAACTGGGACATAATTTCTGGCGAGACACGTCCCTGGCTGAACATTTCAAGTGTTGTAAGGAGTAAAAACAAAACTCCATTCACGGCCATGGCACTGGGATGGAGCAATGAGATTTGAAAGCTGATATCTGAAACTCTTGCTACATAAAAGGGGAACTACATACTCGACTAAATACCGCCAACGTTCTCTGACAAAACACGACGTTTTTCGGGGGCTTTCAGCTGCATATCGTGGTCTTCCTGAGCTGATGAAGAGCGCCATACAAGACCTGAGAACATCAGTATTTTTAGATATTATATTATAGACTTTATGATGCCTTATAATATGAGAATACAACGGACATATACGTCAACAGGTTGTGTGATGAAAACGGAGCGAAATCCAGGAAGGAAGGCCAATGATAGGTTGAAAACTCTTGATCTTGGATCTTGGGAAAAGATTGAATTAAAACTAACTTGAACGCTCGTGTTTTTATCCCATTTCTTCACAGCATCTATTTAAATGTAGAGTCTTGGATTTCTGAGAGAGATTTTTGCTGTTTACGTTAGTTTAGACTAGATTAAATTTTACTGTCAATGCAAAATACAAACACTAAGACAACTAAATGCAGTTTAGTTTCTCGCCAGCAGTGCAAAAGCAGCAGTCAGGTGTGTTTTATGCAGTACGTGTATACACAGAATAAATGAACAGTATGAATAAACTAAATATATGAATATAGCAGCTGTAGATGTTAATATAAAGATGCATACATAGTGTACAGGTAGCGGTAAACAGCTATATGAACGGTATAAACAGTGAGTGAGCTTTAGCTAGTTAGCATATAGGGAACAGTGGATTTTTGTTAGTTTGACCAAAAAAAAAGTGAATTAGATTCGTGATTTTACCCTAAATAAAAATTGTATTCACTGGAATGATCACAGGTGAATGAGGCAGGTGCTACGTACCGTAAAGTCATACTGTTTCACATCTACTACAAGTTTTTTATTTGTTTTCAAGATTTTTTGGCCCTTTTTTTGCCTTTATTTGATAGGAAAGTCAAGAGAGAGACAGGAAATTGGGGGAGAAGAATGGAGGAAGGACCTGCAGGAAAGAGCCATGAGCGGGACTTGACCCCATGACCTCTGCCTCGGGGACTGTAGCCCCTGAACATGGGACGCCAGCTCAACCAGTGCCCCAAGTCTACTACAAGTTTATTCTAATGATTTGCAATTAGAAGCATAGTTTTTTGGTATTTTGCGGCCATACATCTATTTAATGTAACACGACCTTAATCTGCGTCCAGTAGTTCGGGTCTGTCTACGGACAGATGATCAGTAAATCATCCTCACAGGTGTCTGACTCACCTTCAGCTCTTTGTCAAGCTGTTTAAACTCTTCATCCTCATCGGAGTCGCATTCGGGGAACTGGTACACTTTGATCCCGAACTTGTCTATTTCCTCTCGTATCTAGAAACATTCACACACACGCAAAGACGGATCAGAGTCCAGTGAACCTGTCAAACAAACATCTCAAACTGGTCTTTCACTCACTCTGTCTTTGAGCTTTTTTATCTCGTTGGGCGTGAGGCAGTCGGCTTTGGCGATGAGCGGGATGATGTTGACTTTCTCGTGCAGAGCCTTCATGAACTCGACATCGACCGGACGAAGCCTGCAAAGAGAAACCCAGAGTGAGCAGGAGACTGAAGAGATTAAGATTTGACCTGGTCACTGGATTCAAGCTGGACTTCTTTGTGTGTTTGTGTTCTTACCCATGTCCAAACGGAGGGATGAAGTAAAGGCAGCAGTGGACTCTGTTGTCCTGGATGTTCTTTCTGTTCAGGCCGCTCTCATCCCTGAAGTATTGCTCGAACTGCTGATCTATGTAGTCTGTGATCGGCTTCCAGCTAGGACACACAAACACATAAACACACTCAGCACTGACTACATTAGCAGCTCCTCCGAGTCGCTGTGAATGAGGCACATATCAGATCGTTGCTGCTCACCACTCGTTGTTGTTGACGGCGTCTCCGAAGCCCGGCGTGTCGACGATGGTTAGTTTGAGCTTCACTCCTTTCTCCTCAATGTCTACAGTGTGTTTGATGATCTCCACGGTTTGGTTGATGCGCTCTGCAAAGAACCGACATGAAGAAGATCAAGGACTCGGATTGACGAGGAGATGATAAGTTTAAGGAGCTTCTCAGAGATTAGATTTCATTTTCTAAACAGGTAGCCAATTATGAACATCATTTAAGTCCCACTTTTTGCACACATCAACCATTTGACGTACTAAATTTTACACCAGTTTCTTTAAAAGGTTTTACAAGCAGAATTCAGCACAACATGGTTTTACACAAATTAAGCTTCCAGTCAGAAAGAAAAAGCTCTCATAAGAAACTGGAGCAAATCTGATCCAGTTGCAAAACATCAAAGGCTTGATGTTGCTCAGTACAAAAACACTGACCTATTTTTTACCCAGAAAATATTTATGAGAGAACTTGTTAAGACTGAATAATTTACACGTGTTGTCGTTTATGAACATCACATAGAGTCAGAGCTCATTAATTGACCGATCGGCATTTAAATTCCAACAAAACTGTCCAACAAACATCCAGTAAGCGGTGCATCGTTATGATTGATGCTCACCCTCGGCGTTCAGTAACTTCCTGTCTTTGTAGAGATCTGTGAGGAAGAGGCTGTTGACCAGCGTGGATTTTCCCATCCCAGACTCTCCTGCAACACACACACAGACAGAGAGACACTTATAACACGTACAAATGATTTAAACTGAATTTAGAAATGTGTTCCCTTTACAACCATTTTAAAGAACACAACTAGAAATACAGTGTTTCTAATATGCTGTCCATCCTTTTTATATCAACAAGGGAGGGCTAAACATTAGAAACACGTCTCCTATGTGACAGTTCATCAACACCGAACCCCATAACTTTCACAAAAGCAGGATTTATTGCAGGGCTACGGTAGTTTTAGCTCTGGCCGTCTGATAAAGTGACACCTGAGGACGGGTTAGTGAAGATTTCTATCATGTTTGCACCTTCAGCTGGAAACTGACCTGCCACCATCAGCGTGAAATCGAAGCCTTTCTTCACCGACTTCCTGTGGACCTGGTTGGGCAGAGTCGCAAAGCCCACATACTGCTTCTCCTGAGATGGAAAAATAAAAGGACACAAAGAAGAACAAAAACAGGTGTTTAGAAAGAAATGATCAGGTTTTCTGGAAATTATTGTAGCACTGAAACAGTAAATGATAAATGGTCTGCACTTATATAGAGCTTTTATCCAAGTGCTTTACAATGTGTTTCTCATTCACTCATTCACTCATTCATACACTAGTGGTGACAGAGCTGCCATGCAAGGAGCTGCCTGCCATTGGGAGCAACTTCAGGTTCAGTGTCTTGCCCAAGGACACGTCGACTGTGGAGGGATCGAACCACCAACCTTGCAATCAGAGGATTCAGTTTCCCATTTGACAGAAAATAATGACTGATGTCTATTTTGAGAATCGATTAACTGTTGGAATCACTTTTCCTGCAGAATGAGGCGTCCTGTCTCGTCAGAGTTATGTATTTGTGAAGATTAATTGCTTTTCCTTATATCATGGAGGTGATATGATGTTCATCTTTGGCCTGTTAGGGGCCCAAAACAAAACATCACTTTGAGGTTCAGGAAGTTGTTCCAGGAACTGTTTTCTCGCATTTTAAGGCCACATTGTTGATCCAGTGAAAGGCAGATTAATCAGAGCTAAATATATTGATTAGGGGAGAAATCAGTCTTTGACCATCAGTCCAAAGTCAGCAGTGGAGAGGAACAAAGTCCATTTACTGCACAGTATCACTGCTACTGATCTGAGGTGCTTCTTCTTCTTCTTTACATTTACCTGAGGCAAAGATTATACTTTTTTACTGCATCTGATGAGCTCAGCTGCATTTTCAGATGATGCATAAATCACAGATTAGGAGCAAATGTGTCTCCTCAAAGTATATAAAGTACCTAAAATGAGCGTCACTGTCTCCAGCTGAACACATGAATGCATCAATAATGTTAAAATATTCATCATTCTGAAACGGCTACTCTGCATGAAGAGTACTTTATGAATTAAATGTATTTTGATGTTTATAGTTTTGGATTTAATAAGTGGGATGTTTAGAGCATTTCTAGTTCATTGTCATTTTTGTCTTGAAAAAATTAGATATTATATTTTCTTAAAAACTGTTTAAGCAGTAAACTAACTATCATGTCTGAACAAATCCACATGAACATTTATCAAGCATTGTACACTGACTTTTTATTAAACCTCTGTTATTAGCCTTGCTGTACGTTTGTGAGGGATCAATAAAGTTTGTCTGATCTTATCTTACTAATATATTTTGTGCCACTGGACTAACTGAATAACCCCCCAGTTAATTTGGATCAACAACAACACACCAAAACCCAGAAGGTCAAAAATAGAAGCAGACACCAAATAAGTGTAAAACAGCTCTGGAGGATTTTTTTAATGTGAAGAATAAAATGAATGCGGCGGCGTCTGCTGTAGTAAAAACCACCACAACAGACAGCTCAGGCTCTATAATACAGAAGATCTACAACTGCATGGAAAAACACGTGCGCAGCATTCCTGTCGGAGCAGCTGAGAATAACCAGCGCCTCAGACTTTCCACTAAAGCGCTCGCACAAACACAAAGAGAACCACAGGACCGGCAGCCTCTCGCTGGGTCGGTGCCGCTGCATCTGGCACAGCGTCATCTTTACCCCTCGGTGCCACATGCTGACATGCGTCGGTATAAATACGCACTCGAGGCCCGTGGAGTCCATTCACACGGGGACAGAGGCCACATTCAGCGGACCTGAAAAGCTCTTTTTCACCCTGCAAACACTACAAGCCAAACGCACAGCCAGAGCCCTCATACGCTGTCATAACTTGTCACTGGCATTTCCGACAGCCTCCCCCAGGGTGAGGATCGCATTTATGAAAACACGCATTCACATTAGATTAAAAAAAAACCCACAGGCAGCGCAATCAGTGCGTGGAGGACACACTTGCCAAAGAGCCAGAGGTGGAAGGTTGAGAAACCTGCTGCCAATAAATCAATGAGTAAATCTCAGCAGTAAATCAGAAGAAGTCCACCAAACACCTCCACAGAAAGAGATGCTGCAGGTGTGATAGTCTCCTGGTATCCTGAGCTCTCTGACACATAACTTCATATCTATCTGCTCTTCTTGCCTATTCTGAACACATTTCCAACGTTTCTTTTACCTTCTGTCTGGCCGTTCTCACTCGTGGGCACAGCAGCCGTTCCACCAGTTTTTCCTGCAGCATGATGGCATCCATCCTAAACCGCTCCGACACCAACGGACCAAAATAGGCACCAGTCTCAGAAAGTTTTAGAAAAAAAAGGAAAAAAAAGAAAAAAAAGGGGCCAAGCAGAGACTGGAAAAAAGAAAAAAAAAATCTGAAAGCTCCAGACCTCGATAAAACTCCAGCACACTCCTTCTCTGCTCGTCCTCTCCTTCTTTGCTGCTTTCCCAGCCCTACTACTTTCTTTATTTATTTCTCTCCTCTGCCCTGGAGCGCTCCGACTCTCCCTGTTCAGACAGGTATGGAGGAATTCTCACACAGAGAGAGAGAGAGAGAGGGAGGGAAACTGAGACAGGGAAAGGGAGCAAGAGAGAGGTGGCAATTTGAGGGAGGAAACAAGGGAGGGATGGAAGAAGCGAAGGTCTAAAAGAAACTCATTCATTCGGCCTGTATTTCCCTCCCCCAGCTCCGGCGGTTGAAAAATAAATCTCTGCACTGAAGAGAAATGACCACCAAAGAAACACACAAAGAGGAAAAAAAGGAGCAGATAGAAAACGTAGATGCTTCGCTTTGTTCATGTGGAAAAACGTCAACTTGTTTGAGCTTGGCGGTGACAAAAGCTGCAGCACGAACAAAAGATAAAGAGCCAAACGCTGCAGGTTGGGGCCTGTGGGGCCCAGAGACCGTCAGATAATCAAGTAAATGAACTTGTCAATCAATCAGATCAGTGAATGTTGTTTGTGTGTGCGCTGTGCTTTGAAGCTGAGCCAAGGCCTCCATGTTTTTACTGTAGATTTGAGGTTACAATTAGTGGTGGAAGTAGAACTACCGGCTGCTGTTGTTGTTGTGAAGCTCTTGAATCTCTAAATCCTGAATCTGTCAAAACAATGTAAAAATAAAAGAGGCTCCATTAGAGTAAAAATGCTGCACTTGAACTCCTCAAACAAAACTGCACCTAAAGAGGAGAAAGATAATATTTTCTGTAAACAAAACCCCCCGTTGTGACTGATATTAATTCATGATTAGACCGTCTTCTTCATTATTTCTTGCAAAGTTGGTGAATTTAATTTATTTCCCTCCTGAGAAGATGAATCTGAGACCATGAGATGATGCTTCTGTCTGGTTTTTTTGCACTTTTGTTAGTTTTACCTCTTTGGGCCTGAAACTGGTTTTTAATTGAAGCCATCTGTGACGTTTAGAAGACAAACGTCTCCCTCATGGAGCCACTAACAAGATGTTTGAACACGAGGAGGGTGAGCAGCCATCAACTGTTGGTTTCATCTTTAAAGCTGGAACGTTTACATGTGAATGAAGCTCTGTGAACACGCAGCCACACAACGCTGATTAACCCGGTAAATCATACCTGAAAGTAAACTCAAGTTTTAAAGCTGATGTCTGTGGAGACTTTCACACACAAAGACTTTTAAGTCAAGTGGCAGTAACTGGTTTCTGAAGAAAGGAGCGACAAAGATGGAGAGGACGAAATAAAAAAACAAGGAAACGTCCAAGAAAAGTTTCAGAGAATAAAGAGAAACTCGTTCAGAGGACGGATTACAGTCTAAAAGGATTGTTTTCATATATCAGTGCAGGTTTAATTAATTTATCACATGTAAAATCTGCCAATTACTTCACTCACACCAGGGCTGCACTAATGATTAATTCACTGTCGATTAATCTGTCCGTATCCCTCATAAACAGTCAGTAAACCACTAAAGACTCCTGCTGCACTCCCTTCCCCTCACTGTTACATGTGCAATTCCTCAACTTCATGTGCAATCCTGTACTTTAAACTGTTTCCTAATTTACTACCTGGATTAGGCAAGTTTGCGTCTCTTTTCATAGTACTTCTATACTTCTCTTTTAGATATTTTATTTAGAATTTCTTAGATTTCTATATTTATTCCTGTCTTGTTATTGTTGTGTACCAGTCCCAAGCTTCTGATTCTGATTAATCCGTCCATGTTCTCGATTAACCGATTTATCGCACGGTTTATAAAACAGCAGTGATGGTCACAGCTGGAATCAGAGACTTACTGTTCCTAAAAGATTACTCAAACCGATGAGCTGATTAATAATCCACTTTAAGATAACCTCATCAGTGTCCGGCTGTGGCTTCACTGTACAGACACATGAATGACATCAATATTCTCATCTCTTATCAAAGCAAAAAAGAAAATAAAAGGCACATTTCCCACAAAATGTCACGTGTTTCCCATCAATCAGTCCATCTGTTTATAAAAATACGTCCTCTTATTGTATCTGTGAGGTCATTTTCAGTCGGTCTGGACCGCCGGTCAGGAGCGTAATGAAAAGGATGTAAAAGAAATCGGCCACAATGTCGACTTCTGTGTGTGTGCAGAGGTGAATGAGGTACATTTAATGGCAGACGTTGGACTCGATTGATTCCAGATGTGACGGCCGTGTGTGTGTGTGTGTGTGTGTGTGTG